TATAAAGGCTGCAACACAAATACAAAAGCTGCAACACAAATACAAAAGCTGCAACACAAATACAAAACCCACTACACAAATACAAAAGCCGCAACACAAATTTTATTTCCGTTGCGGCTTTTCTATTTGTGTTGCAGATTTTGTATTAGTTTTGACACCTCTGGGCCACCGTAGCCACCTACTGAAGCAGGTACAAAATGTACATGTTTACATTTGTGATGGTAGGAAGGAAACTCCTTCCAGACATCAGTCTAACAGAGAGATTGGGTCTAATGGTTGTTATGGAGACCAGGGGATCCAAAGATGTCTCGTTTAGTATGATTTTAACTTAACCTGCTGCTTATTGTGTTTATTATTAGATCGAAATAGTGTCTCATCCAGCCTGGAGGTCAGTGAATGACAGAAATAAGCTTCTGTGTCGGGTTGTATTCATGTTCCAGAGAGACAAAGTGTTGGTTTACTTTTTAATCCTTCTGAAACCACCACTTAGCTGAAAAGCTAAAGCAGTCATTTGAAATCCTGACGTTTAGTTCAAAAGGGATTATTAGGAGCACAAATAATATTATCACATGTACTTGATTCTTAGAAAGAGATTTTTATGTTTTTTACTCATCTTAACCTGAGGTTCCAGCCTATCTGGCTCTCCCTACATTAAAAAAAAATTGTTTAGTTTCATTATTTATGGACGTCTTTGAAGATTCCAAGTTATGTCTGTGTTAGATTTAAGGATCAAAATTATTCTCAGACTTTAATCGCTGGCTGCATGCGTCAATGGAACAAACACACTATCTTTAGGAGCAGCAAAGTCATTTCCAAGCAGCAGCTTCTTTGTTCATACAAAGATAAAGAAATTGAAGATCTGTACGATCAGTAAACATGTGACACAGTCGTGTACATGTTGTACCTCTCTCTTTAGGACACAGAAACACACTCATGCTTGCCCTGGTTTGTTAGGGTAGGCTGTTAAGTAGAACTTTCTGTGCTGTTATCTCTTTAATGGATCTTAACTGTGGGCCAGAATAATGCGATGAGTGTGCCTGGAATCGGAACATTGTGAGAACATTAAGACACTTTCTGCCACTTTCTGCCTACTTAATGTTGAAAACTATTTATTTATCATCTTTCCTTATTTGCTGGTTTGTTTCTTTTTTTTCTTTATTCTAATGCATCTAAATATATCATCACTGCCGTTATGTTACTGCATTGTTAAAAGACATTTAGAATCTTTAAAGCTGCTGAAAATGTGATCAGATCTGTCGGCTGTTTCACACGTTTTTACACCAAAAAATATCATAGCTACTGATGTTTACCATATCTGTCTCTGTTCTAAGTGTAAAGACGTGAGAACAATCTGCTTTAGGTTAAAAAGCATTCCCAACTCTGCACAGTTGACCTTAGGATAACAATTGCCCTTTTTGCACCTGTTGTTTGCTCTGCAGAGACCTGACCGCAGAGGACCAGATCGCTCTGCTAAAGTCGAGTGCCATTGAGATCATCATGCTGCGCTCCAACCAGTCCTTCAGCCTGGAGGACATGTCCTGGAGCTGCGGGGGACCCGACTTCAAATACTGCATCAACGATGTCACAAAAGGTGCTTTTCTAAATTATTAGAATTTATTCTATTTATTTATTTATCTAAAATGTATCAATGTTTTTTCTTTGATATTCTCCATTAATTCTCCATGTCTTAAGCGGTTGTCTCCTTAGGAGCATTTCAGTGAGTGAAGCTACCTGTCTCGAGAAATTGGTTATTTAAGCTGTGAACAGCAGAGCAAATTTAAATTAGTGTTCATCGTTAGAGGTAATGTGACAGGTTCAATTAAATCTACCATCCTCTCAATCCTCCCATCCTCCAATTTTCAAACTGCAGAGGCGCTTTTAGTCAATTTTAGTCATAATACATTTACAGTAGTAGCCGTTCAAAATGTCCCCACTTTCCTTGATGGGCCCTTGGCTGATCCCCTACAATTCCTTTTTAAACATTAATAATTGTAAAAAAAAATATTCTTTCTTCCATGATTTGTGGACATTAAGATCTAAAGAGTAGCATGATCTCCTGGTCAGACCCTGTAATCCAGTAAAAGTGTGGAGTCAGAATAAAAAAATATTCAAGAGGGGGTCACTGCAGTGGCTGGGAGCTGGATGGAAGTGGGCTGCAATTCGGCTGGCGCTTGACTGGGAAGGGCCAATTTCAATGGCTGCTACTGTAACAGGATTAGGACACTAAATTTCTCCCTCCAGCCTTTAGGTGGCGGTAATGCGATTAACGTATCTAGCACCTAGGTCTATGCATTGTAATAGTAAAGCCTGTGCAATTTTTTTTTTTTTTTTTCAATCGTTGCACACAGCTGCAGCTCACACTGTACAACGAAACCGTCGTTTCATTGTACAGTGTGAGCTCACAGCTCATGATGTATGTGCAGTACAACGCTCTCATGCGATCTACCTGCTCACACTGCACGAATAAAAACCATGTCGGACTCAGCCCCGCAGTGAGATGGAGCTGCTCTGACTCGTCTGTCCTGAAGCCAAACAAATAGAAGGGGAAGTTGAATCTCACTATAGTGAGATGTGCTGCCTTGTCAATTTGTGCAAACTTGTGCTGAAAGCCCTAAAAAGAACAGGCGACTATAGTACGTATTTGGAAAAGAAAGACATGGCTGAGCAAACGTGGCTACTGCGGTCTGTCAATTTTACAGACAGAACTGCGTTTCACTCATTGCATCCCTGCCATGCTGCTGTTTGTGCACTAAGCGATTTGCCCAAACATGTTTGATTTTCTCCTGACCTCACGGTTTCTGATCGGGAGGTGGTCGTGAGAGGCTGATCGCCTCTTGTAATCCCCTGTACACTACACGACTCACAACGCACAATCAGGCTGAAAGGCGGCCCGATCGAAAGATTCTCGCATGACTGGAAAATTGCTCCGAAAATCGCACGCCTGGCTTCAGAAGTTTTTCATGCAAAGGTTACAGCAAAGTCCTGCAGCTCTGGATTCTGGAGTAGCTTTTAATGTCATTAAAAACCAGAATCCTTGGAATGAAAAATGCTTGTGCTTAGTGCAAAGGAAAATCGCAATAAATCACAAACATAATATTGGTTGAAAATAAGTAAAATTTAGATTTTTGGAAAAATCGATCTGCCTTAATCAACAGCCCACTCAAACACTGCCCTTCTGTCGGACTTAACTGAGGTCCTGATAATATTGTTTATTAAACCAGTAAATTTCCCCCGATTACATGCAGAGGATTATGTTATGCATGATTCTTGATTGAAGGCCTCTGATGTAGAACGACGGCCATGCTGTGATTTTATGCTCAAAAGTAAGGAAAGGTAACTGAATGTGCTGGGATAACGGGTTGATTTGTGGATCCCCCACAGCTGGTCACACCCTGGAGCTGTTGGAGCCGCTGGTGAAGTTCCAAGTGGGCCTGAAGAAACTCAACCTGCACGAGGAGGAGCACGTGCTGCTCATGGCCATCTGCCTGCTGTCCCCAGGTACCGCTGCTCTTTAAGATGTGATCTTTCTTTCATCTCTTTTGGAACCAGTGTAAACTGTGGTTGTTAATGGGTTACTGAAAGCCAGCATGTCCTCAGAGTGTGCTTCAGGGTTTGTGTTGGTGTCAGCTTTTCTGTTTAACCTAGATTCAGCCTGAACGTGACGAGTAGCTGAAGCTGCCAGTAACAGTGAAAAATAATTTCCTAGAACTGAAAACTACTGCATCTGTTTATATTATAATTGATATGCCAGTAAATGAAGACATTGGTTGTTTCATCCCTGAGGCAGCTTCAGGAACAGATATTAAACCTATAAAACCTTTCATTGAGCCTGGAGGAGTATTTAAAGGAACAAGAAGCAGCTGTACTCCATGCTTACACTGTGATAGATTAAAGTGTAACTATAACGTCTTGCTAGTGAAAGCAATTAATTTCAAATCTAGAAAAACTGGCATCCATTTTTATTTGGAGCTCCTGAATAAACTCTGTTGATGCCCTTTTCGCTACAAGTGCAGCTTTGAGTTTAGTTTGGGATGAATTTCCTCTCCTCTAGAATCTAGACACGCTTTGTCCAATTTTGACACCATTGGTCTTTGCAAAAACAAATCAGGATAATTCTGTGACAATCGGTGCTTCAGTCTCAACACATTTCTAGTTTAACTCAGGTCTGGACTTTGGGCAGAAGAGAAGTACACCACTGATCTCCATTTATTCACTGGATCGCTGATAGACCGAAAAAAAGCTGAAGTCATCTGTCGCCATCTTGGTACTCCCCACTTTCACGGAGCTGCGCCATAACGATGCCTGTAATGTAATTTGATTACCATAAAAATGTAATCAATACATGTATATTACATGTACATCACCAATTTACAGGGTTTTCGCGGGTCAATAAAAATTATTAAAAGTCAGTAAATTATTCTTTTTTAAATTAAGGCCTGAATTGGCATTAGATTTCATTAAATGTGATTATTGTGGAGTTTAAAATGCTTTATTAAAAAAAAAAAAGTTTATAAAACAATTTTGTCAGATATATCGCAATGTATTTGCGCAAAACTGCTTCCAGTTGATCGTAAATCCTTATGTTCAGAAAAGAAGCCCGAGGCGGAGAAAAAGCTAATGTGTTTAAAAGTGGCCAGGAAATCTGGACACGGTAGCAGCCAGTCAACGGTAAAGATGATGAAGGATTTTACCGTGTGTATATATGAGAGTCATGTGTACTTGTTGATGGCATTAAAAGTATTTCTAAGAGCATTAAAAAGCATTAAATTAGAGTTACTCGTTCCTGTATAAACCCTGAATTTAGCATGTGTAATATTCGTATTATCTGAATACAGTATTATTGTGCTCCATTAACACACTAATTTTATTTTGATGGGTTTTTATGAAATGTTATATTACATGATTTATAGACTTCATGGACTTCATAATGACTATGAAATGTGATGTTATTATTTTTTATCATAAATTACAGTAATCTACTGATGCTATGAAACAGCAAGGGTTTGTCAAAGTGATGACTTTGTCTTTGTATTAAAAGTCTTAAAGGTATTTTTTAAAAGACCCACCCTCTCCACTTGAAAAAAAAAGATATGTGTGCAAGAGTTCTTGTTTAAAATGTGCTGTCCTCATAGCTCATACAAGCGTACTGTGTCCACATACAGCAGGGATTATATAGTAGACTTTATAGCGAACTCAGTTAACTTACCGTTCGGACAGATGATCACTGCTTTTTGCTCGCATTGGTCACATAACTCCTCCTTCGCTGCACGGTGCCTGCGCCATCTTTGTTATTAGTCGACAGCGGGCTGCTGTGACAGCAAATCCCATAATGCTTTGCGAGGAGAGCTCTCTGCGCAAAGCATTCTGAGGCCTTTCTTTTCTTCTCATACACTTCATAGGCACTTTTTCTCTTACGACCCTCAGCCATTTTCAAAGAAAAAAGAAAAGAAAGAAAAAAAAGAAAGGTGAGCTTCAATGAGTGTCTGAAACCGTAGCTCACCACCGATACACGCCTGAAAGTGCACATGCGCAGAAAAACTAACTAGAGGCGAGCACATATGAAGGCCTTACGTAAACATATCACCAAAATGATTGACAGTTAGGAGGACCTCTTATTGAGATGATCCACCCATAAATAAAAGATTGTCCTCTATACCTTTAAGCCCCCCTGAAAAAGAGAAAATCATTGTTCGATTATGTAGCGTACAAATTGTTTACATTCTGACTGCTCTAGCTAGGGAGTACCAATATGGCAGCTGTGACTTCAGGGCACTGTGTACTACCAACGGCCTATCAGCAATCCAGTGAATAAATAGAGATCAGTGAAGTATTTCCACACCATGATGCTGCCACTACCGTGTTTCACTCTAAGCATGGTTTGTTCTTGGTTTGTGACCAGAGACTTTTCTTCCATGGTTATGTGATTCCAGCATTACTAACTTCTGATGCTTTTGACACTCAGTTTCATTTAGGTGTATCAGAGTAAAGAGGTGAATAACAAAGACGCCACACGGTTCAATTTTTTATATGTAAAGAATAAAGAAAACTCATTTTCCTTTTTGTTACATTCATGTTCTGCTTCATTTTGTATCAGATTCATGTAAATCTAAAAGTCTGAGGTTTTCATTCCAGAAAACTGAGAAGTTTGAATATTTTTCTACAGGATTCAGGTCGTCTGTCTACTTGTTATGTAATATTTGTGGTCCACATGCCCTGACACCTGCTCTCCCCACTCCCTCCCCTTTCTGGTTCTCCATTACAGACCGCCCTGGTGTTCAGGACCATGCCCGCATCGAGCAGCTGCAGGACCGTCTGTCAGAGGCCTTACAGGCCTACATCCGGGTCAACCACCCAGGCGGACGCCTCCTCTACGCCAAGATGATCCAGAAGCTGGCCGACCTGCGCAGTCTGAACGAGGAGCACTCCAAGCAGTACCGCTCGCTCTCGTTTCAGCCTGAGCACAGCATGCAGCTTACCCCGCTGGTGCTGGAAGTGTTCGGCAGTGAGGTGTCATAGCTGAGGAAGAGGAATCTATTCACAGACTCATCAAACGTGGGATGATTACCAAACTCTGCTGCCTTTTCCTCAACTAAACCGAAGCACCTTGGACGCTTTGGAAGGAGACGCACCATCGCTTCTACCTTCATCTGTTTCTCCTTCTGTCAACTGCTCACCTTCCTGGAGGAGCAAAACCATAACTGGATCTCTGGGTTCACTAATATAAACGCGCTGCTGGATCACCAGAATCTCAAACCTCATTTGCTTTTCCAAACAAGCTGCCTCGCTCATTTTCTTCTTTTCCATGACTACAGAATCCAACCGTCTTTCATCACCATCCCTCCCACCGTCAGGAAGTTATTTCCCCTCCACATCTTCATCGTCACATTGCAGGAAACGGCGCTCGGAGTTACATCTTCTGCTCATCTTGGGTGAAAAACTCTTTGTAAATAGTCATGAACTTTTTTTTTTTTTTGGTTTACAGTTTCTAGCAGCAAAAATCATCCAAATATATCAAGCATCAGCGAACATGAAATAGGAACAGTCTGGTTTCTGGTGGGAGTTAACACCTCCTTGTAAATTCTGCATATGTAAAAGGAAAAAAAAAAAAAAAGAAAAGTCAAATCATATGAGGACAGATGTTTTTGCAAAAGTCTTTTAATTTGGGATTGATGGGTAGAAAGGTGCACTTTGGAAAAAACGAGGATGCTGGGGGGGTGCTACGTTTGTAAAATGATCAAAAGAAGAATGTATGTTTTATTTTACATATGATAAATATAAGCTGTAGTACAAGTCCAAGATTTAGACATACCTAAAGCTTGGCTCGTACTGTATATAGAAAGAAATACTTCTGAGAGTGTTGAAAAAATGATTCTAATAATGAAAAGGATGTTAGGACCCCTCCTCAGATGTGTGTGTATATGCCAACTTATAAAAACATATGCACACATGCACTGAGATGCGTTATGAGGAGTCGCTATTTTTGCTATACCTGTACAGTGTGCAAGATTATGGATGGGCCACAAGGGGGTGTGTGCACAGGCTCTGACTGAACATTCAATGCAACTAGGCTCTCGGTTGTGCTCTCTTAATTTCTGGACCTGTGAAGTTTGTCGGCTGACCTACACAAAGATAACTTCCTGTTTTGTGGACGGCTATTTTTTCAGAAAAAAAAAAGAAAACAAAATAAAATTGTCGGACTGGTTGGATTGCTGCTAAGACAGAACTCAGATAGTTGGACAGAAACCAGCTGCCAGCTGTTGCCTCAGGGAAAGTTTGTCTGGCGATTCTCTGGTTTTTATGGCATGTGTGTGTGTTTGGCGTTAGCTTACAATCAGGAGAGGGAGGTTTAGAGAGTTTTTGAAGCTCAATGCATCACTGTGATTTCTAATTATACTGAACGACAGCAAAAGGAAGCTAAGAGGTAAACATTTCTGGAAGAAAAAAAAATCTCTATATAAGAAACCTTTTTAGAGGATCCTATTGTCTGTACGAGGGTATAAATACATTCTAGCTACACAGTCACTTTTATGAAATTAGTAGAAGCCTTAAATGTAATGTTTTTAAAGATAAAACAAGTTTTCTAGAGCAGTGGTTCTCATCATAATGTCACCACCACAGATACAGTTATAATTCAGTGACAGTGCACAGTTGGTAAAAAAAACAAACAAACAAACAGCATAAAGATTTTAGTGAAATTAGATATTAAAGCAGGAGAGTCTGAGTTTTCTCATCCAATCTTCGCCTCAAAATCCAATATGGCCTCCTTACAAACAAAAGTAAGGGTTAGTCCCCCTAAAACTTTATGCTTAACCTTTTAAAACACAAAAAATGACACAGTATTGGACAAAGTCCTTGCATTAATCTGTTGACAAGGTGTTTTAAAGTCCAAAAACCATATTTGGTGTATATTAGGGGAGTGGTGGTCTAGTGGTTAGGGCATAGAGCTTTAAATCCTGAGGTTTTGAGTTTGAGCCCAGCTCTCATAACTCTCTGGGTCTCTGAGCAAGACTCTTCACCCCACAATGCTCCCCGGGCGCCCCACAGTGGCAGCCCACTGATCCCCAAGGGGATGGGTTAAATACAGAGTTCATTTCTCCATTGTAAGATCAGTGAAGTTCTATTATTATTTATTGTAAGATAGTTTATTAATCCAGCTGGCTTTTTACTCCCTGAATTTATTTCTAATTTCTACTTAAAAATTATTGTTTTTTATTTTTACACTGATTGTAAAATATTTCGATGGATTATCTTAAAGCAATAGATTTAAATGTAGGAATTTTATGCTAATTATTGCAACATATGGTAAAACCTTTGGCCACTAGTTGGCGCCAAACCGATTTCCATATGATCCTCACCATGTTTATTTACATTAACAGGCATTAGATGTATATATATATATAACTATATATAGATATTTATATATATATATATATATATATATATATATATATGGCTTCATGCTGGTTTGAAAACATATTTGCTGCAAAAAAATCAACAAATTTGGTTACAAAGATAACTTTTCTTCAGCACTTAATCCTATTTCAACGTTATCTGCAGTTTCTGCAGAGTTTCAGTATTCACTTGTTGTGCCTGAACAACTAGTCTTATTAGTGTGTGTTTTTTTTATTTCATGACTTTAAACCTGTCCTGCAAATGAATTATGCATAGCCTTATTAGCTGTAGTAGAGCTAACCCATCTGCCACCATCAGTACTGCTGCTACAGTCACCTGGGCTCTAAACGTGTTGCAGTTTGTCCATATAAAGGGAATAAGACTGATTTTTTTTTATTATTATTATTTCACAGATGAGAAAGTTCAGCCTCCTACCTTTTTATCATCACATTAATTTCATTTCAATGCCAGCTGCATAAGCAAGGTTTTTATCACTACATATCATATCCTTTCTGCTCACAGCTCAGGCAGGCCTGGATCACCCCCTTGTGGAAAAATGTTGTAAATACCACTTTTTTAGTCTGTACATAGAAGCTGATGTAGGTATATTACTAAGAGGATTAATTTACTGATGGGAAGAAGTTTGGGAGATGCTAGGCTATATGCAATTATAGAAGCTCTTTCAGTGTATTCAACTTAAATGGACAGAGACGCTTAATATGGGCAACTTCATGAGCTGTAGATGCTGCAGGTGGGACTATTTTAATTTCTGTTCTGGAGGGTTAGGATCAGCAACCGATTGACTCTGATGGAGTCCCTTTAGAAATACATGAAAATCAAAATGTGGTTTTTATCTAAATTTTAAACTTTAAACATTCCCAGAATGATAGATTCATCCAGAAATCACCCGTCAGCTCATAAGGTCTCTTTATTAAGCGTATTTCTGTCCATTCCTGGACTCTGGATGTACGTCTCTCCCCTCTCTCTCAATCAATAAGCTTTTGATGATATATACATAATATTTTCATTTTGGTAAATATCGGATTTCTTCTGTTTCTCTTGATTGTTGATTTTTTTTTAAATGGTGGGTCAGGTGTTTGGCTGTGCTGCTAGCGCTTGGCTCCCTGCTGGGGAGCTTTGTTGAATGAAGGAGGGATAAGCAGTGTGGACCTATGGAGCCTTTTCCAAGTGTTTGTCGACGAGTTTGAAAATCCCCTGCTCTGTCAGAGGCACTGCAAAGACGTTTACCCATTGAGTTAAATCATTTTGTTGTCTGTAGAGCTGCAGTCCACATATACGGCATTGGGGATAATTTAAAAAAACAACAACATCAAGTTATCCCCAATAACACTGCCTGAACTGATTGGATTCCCGGCGTATCTGGCTGCTGAGCTCTGCAGCAGCTGTTGGCGTGCCTCTATACTCATCGGCCAGCCGTGTAACCATCTCTTCTTCTTCAACAGCCATTTAAACAACTCTTCTCTGTATAGCTTTAATGTTAGCCGCCAGCTGAGCTCTGCTCTGGAAAACTGCGATGCATTCAACACCTGATCGGAGTCTGGGATCTGAAGGCGCACCGTCGGATGGGACTTCCAGAGGACCGTGTAGAATTTGTACAAAGATCATAGGAGATGGAGTGTTTTTAAACTGAGAATCGCCACACGTTGTCGTAGCGACCTGCTGCACAGGCAGAGACTGACTGAATGATGGACTCGGACGTCGCCTCTCAAAATCCAAAGTGGGACTTTATCGTTCTTTGTACTCCGTGTCTCACTTTGCAGCTCTCAAGATTCAGATTTTTAACAAGTCATGTTATTATTTTTTTTTTTTTGTGTACATTTTTAACTTTCATCATCTACATCCATAAAAGGAATGCAGGACAGGGTGGGGGAGGGGTTGGAGTCTCCACATGGTTTTATGGGTTCAGAGGTTAACGCATGAGTTAATTACCTCTTTATATCTGGATTTAAATTTAGATTTCTACACATCTACTCCTTTTTCACAGCATTGAAGAACCTTAAATTGAATTAGATCTGATTTATCATCAAGCCCTAAAACCATGGAAGTTTCTCCTCCGTTCCCCCCTTGTCCCTTCAAACCAGGTCAGCAGCTCCACCTCAGTAGCCTTATTTAAAACGACCTCACTAAGCTGGAAAACATTTACCAGATACCTCAGTGATTTACAGTATAGATATATTTTCACAATAGCCTTTTAAGGGAACCAAACATAAACTCTACTACACACACACACACTCACACACACCACAGCTCTGGTTTTACAAACTCTGTTTTAACCCTCATGTGGACGTCTAACTCGTAACCAGCTCTTGTGTAATGAGGGATAGCATCCTGTTAGCATCCGAGTGGATCCCAATGTCTCTAAGTGTTACCGTCTGTCAGCTTGACTCGGTCATCTCTGCCTCGTTTTGGGTTTACCTCCGTAGTTTCTCTCTGTTCATGTTCTGCTGAGCTTCAGCACCGCGTTTAACCAAAAGTACTACCTCTCCTGTCTGCACATATAAATATATCTATTTTTTTGGTTGCAGCATGATTGTGTAATATAAATCATAAATTTTTATTTTAACAATATTTTAGAAGTTTTTATGTGTGTTTATGTATAGTGGAAGCATTTTTTTTTTATGCTGGATTTTTTTTCAATCTGATAACCACAGTCTACAAATCTTAAATCTGCAGTTTTAGCTCCCCCTTCTGGCTGGTAGAGCAATTACAAATACTTAAACGATGTATAGAAAGGCTAATTTGCTTGGTTTCATCTTTTTTTTTCTTTTTTCAACCAAACGGTAACTCGCTGGGAGTGTTTTTTTTTTTATCTACTTTTTGTCGCTACAGCTTTAAGCTCTGAATAACCCATGATTGGTGTAAATATTCAACAAATGACCCCCATAGATTTATTTATTCCGTATCTAAAAATCCCTAAATTGAAATCTATGTAAGGAAGTGTTGCGTCATTCCATAACAAGTCTTAGACATGATCAAAACTATCTACCTTTTTATTTAACATATAGAACAGTCTTGTTAAATATTCCCTACTTGCAGGTTGCATTAATGCGATGCATGTTCATCAGTATCACACTCCAGCTTTAACTTCTCTAAATATTGCACCACTTTCTGACTAAAGTGTGTGAATGCATGTTAAACCTCCTACATGGAAACTGTAGCTTCATTCACATAGTGACTCAATTGCTGATTAGTCTAACCTGTTCAGTTTGAAAGGCAAAAATGCTTTTTTTTAAAGTCCTATAAAACAAAACGTACCTGTACCTTTATGCAGCGGCTCGGCCTGCGAACACAGAACAGAACGCTTTAGCTTTTTCACAGAGAAAAGTATTTAGCAGCATGTCTACATTAAGTCGGTTTCTGCAAGCCATATTTTATTAAACCCCTCGAAACGTCAATAATTCACACGTCGACGTTTAATTTGGGTACTTAATAGATCAGAGATAATGATTTTAAAAATGTATTAATGTTCCTAGAAAGTCTAATTAATTTAAAGTAAAGCATGAATAAAGTTAAACAGATGCCAATTGTGCCACAAGTGGTTTAGTTTAATACACTTAATTCTAAATCTGCCATTTTTATTTCCTGATTGAATAAATGTAGAGTACTGAATACATTTTTAAAGTGCAGTTATTCTTCTACAATCAGGGCCATTGTGACCTATTTACCAAGGGGGTCACACAGGAAAAATGATCTCAAAATAAGTAAAAGTGTCTTAAATTAAGTGTATTTACCCTTAATTTGAGTAGGTAAATGAGATATTTTGCCAATAGAATGAGTATTTTTACTCTTAAAATAAGATAATTCGATAATATGCACTTGAAATAAGACAATGCAATTGTGTTTTCTTATTTTAAGTGTAAATTGTCTTGTTCCATTAGCAAAATGTCTCTTTTACCTCCTCAATCCAAGAACAAATGCACTTGTTTTAAGGAAAAATGACTTATATAATGACTATATTTTGATTTTCTTTCCAGTGCGCTAGATAAGGTTAGCATGATATATAAACTAGGCTACAGTACAAAAAATTGACATCTAAATAAGTCATTTATTCTTAAAATAAATGAATTTTTTCTTGAATTTAGTAGGTTTGTGAGACACTTAGCTAATGGAACAAGAAATTTTACATTTAAAATAAGAAAAAAATGTCATTGTCTTATTTCAACTGCATATTATCTAATCTTATTTTAAGTGTAAAAAAAAAAAAACGCTTATTCCTATGGCAATCATCTTATTTACTTACTAAAATTAAGGTTAAAAACACTTAATTTAAGAAATTTTTACTTATTTATAGATCATTTTTGCAGTGTACAGTTAACTTAAAACTAAAGTTTAGATTATTTGCCTGAATAAAAATAACTTACAGCTTCTAAACCAACAACTGATTTGTTAATGCTCAAATAAACAGCAGGCGTGTTGCTTCTACCAAAACGTTTAGCTTAAACACCTAAAGTTTGACATTAGATGTACAGATGAGGAGAGCTGTAGTTGTTTTTGTTCTGTTTTGTGAAGCATGAAAAACCTGCAGCCTGATGTCCAGCGAGCTCCAGCGTCTTCTGGCTGCTTTCCTGAGAACCTTCTCTTAATACCACAAATAAAGGGGTTTGCAACATTGGGATCCTGAATTAGTTGTTCAAGACCGAAATAATGTTTTGTTTTCTACCCAGAGAGACACACTCGCTTACTTTCACCCTCATCCTGCAGCCCATCACACTCAGCATTCTGCTTTCTTTCCCTCTGATTCTGAACGGTTGCTTTATTTGGTGCTTTCAGGCCGTTTTCAGAGCGCCGGACGTGTTTGCTGTGAATGAAAAACATAGCAGATTTGCATTTATTCAGGCCGTGTTTTTGCTTGAGGAGTTCCTGTTTTCAGAAAGGAAGCGATGACCGTTTCACATCAGTCAAAAGCAACAGAAAAAAAAATCTGAAATGTAGTTTTAATCTGAAAAACTTCTGGATGCTTT